TGGGGGAAATTAGTAAAAATAGGTGGTTGAGCTGCATTTTTACTGCCCCTTCTTAAAGTAGGATTCTGGTCAGACTCTATAAAGCCGGCCATACATGGATCGAAATTCAGCCAGTCCAGCAGGGACAGGGAATTTTGATCCATGTATGGGCACCCTGATAATAGGTAGGTATACAGATCTTTTCTTAGGTTAGGTTCACACCCAGGGGCGGACTGACCATTTGAAACTTGGGCACTGCCCGAGGGCCCGGGGTCAGTAGGGGGCCCCATGAGATGCCCCTGGTACCTTTTTCATAGGCTTTTTTGCGTTTGGGCAAGGACACGGGGGCCCATGATCCTCTATTGCCCGGGGCCCCATGATTGTCAGTCCGCCCCTGTTCACACCTATGCAGTTTGTGTTTTATCCATTTCAGCAGTACTTTCTGTGGTATGTTTTTGCACTTGCAGTTTTTTTTTTTTTTTCAACTTGTTGAAAGAATAAAACGCATCAAAAACACTACATGCTTTTCTGCAGAGTCTCCACTGAATTCTATAGGAACAAAAACGCAAAGTTTTGATTTGAAAAAAGTCCCTGACCCTTTCTAAAAAAAAACACACCAAGTGAAAACGTGGAGATGTGCACCTGTCCCATAGGAAATCATGATAAATGGACTGCTGTGCGTTTCTGCAAAACAGCGGAAAATGCATAGGTGTGAACCTAGCCTTACACAGGTTACTCAAAAGCGGTGTTAGAAAGGGGGTGGCAGTATCTTGAGTTTGATCAGAATTGCACTTTAAGCTAGATTGGGGGTGTGTGCTGGGGGGGTGAATGCCATGGTTGCAATGATTTACACTACAGTGCTGCAAAAATGATCCTTCTGTCACTTTCAGTAGACAGCAATGCGGCTGAATGTGACACATTCAACTTAAAGAAGCCCAATACCAGGCTTGTGGTGTTGGCATTGTGTTCCCAATCAAGCAGCCTGTTTGGCTGTCAAAAAAAGAAAAAGGGATTCAGGAGGTAGCAGTATCACCTCCTGGATGCCTGTCAGATATGCCTGCACCACACTCTGAAAGTGATCCACCATGGATTACTCTTCACAGAGCAATGCGTGTATACACGAGCACTTGCAGTGGGGGCCTCTCTTTGCACTCCAAATGTTAAAGTAATATTAAAAGCAATCTTTTTTTTTTTTTTTATAACAAACATGTCATACTTACCTGCTGTGTGTAATGGTTTTGCACAGAGCAGCTCCAATCCTCCTCTTCTCAGGTCCCCTGCTGCTCCTGGGCCCTCCCTCCTACCAAGTGCCCCCAGAGCAAGCAGCTTGCTATGGGGGCACCAAGCAAACTCATTCCCAAGCCGCCGCTCTGCATGTCTAATCACACAGAGCCACAGCTCAGCCACACCCTCTCTCTCCTCATTGGCTGTGATGAACTGTCTAAGCCAATGAGGAGGGCGATTCCCCGGAGTGCCTAGGCTCTCATGCACATCGATGGATTGTGATGGGGCTCAGGTAAGTATTGGGGGGGGGCATAGAATGTATGAAGGTAAAAAAAAAAAAAAAAAGCCTTAAGGCTTTACAACCACTTTAAATGCTGGTTAGGTCTAAGGAGACGTGATAAGACTGCATTACTTATCTTACCACCTCTGTGGTGCTCTGGGCTGCAGGCGGTCCCTCAGGGTCTTCATCTGCAATGTATGGCAAGTGGCTTTGTACATGAAGAAGGCAGCAGTATGACTGCAGCCAAAGCACCTTAGAGAGGGGGCAGCATTGGGAGCCTACTGGAGCAAGCAGTAAGACAGATAAAACGGTACATTCATACCAGGTGCGATAGGACACGGTTGGGTGGCTATTCCAGCACAGGGCACCCCCAAGACCAGGCAAAATGTCTCCTATGTGCCCAGCTCACACCACTGTAATGGGGGCAGTGTGTGCTGAAAAAAAAACCCTATTTTGTTTCAGTGTGAGGCAATCCACCTCCTCGCATCGTGTAGTGGCCACTTGCATTTGTGAATGGTTGTAAAGAGATGTTTTTTTTAACTGAAATAACAAACATGTCATAGTTACCTGCCACCCCGCTGGTGCTAATAGGCCCTCCCCCTGCCAAGTGCCCCCCCGAGCAAGCTACATGCTCTGGTAGCACTTATGCCTGCTCGCTCCTGAGCTGATCCTGTATGTCCATAGGAAATACAGAGTATGACTCAGCCCCCTACTGGCTGTGATTGCCAACAGCAGGAGCCAATGGCTCCCACTGCTGTGTCTCAGCCAATGAGGAGGAAAAGATCGGGGAGAGGAGAGCCGATCAGCTCAGGTAAATATTAGGGGGGAGCTGCACACTGAATGCATGAAGGTAAAAAAAAAAACCTATAGTCTTTAGATCCACTGTAATGGAGGGTCTGTGTGACATTTCAATTAAGTGAAGGGGGTGATGCGCCGAGGTCAGCACTGCAATGATCCCGCCAGACCACACTGCACACCAACCCTCACTGATAATTTGTGCACCCCCCAACCTTTTCCTGGAGATTATTTCCTCCACGATCCTGTTCATAATGCTCTCTACAAATGTGCGAGAACGGGCAGATATTCGCAGATTAGTTGTAGACATTCGCAGACCAGGGGGGGAAGACAGTCGCAGATGGGGGTGTGAAAGACCATAGCACACTGGGGGGGTATGGAAGACCGTCGCAGATCGGGGGGGGGGGGGCGAAGACCATCACAGATCGGGGGGAGGGGGGGGGAAAGACAGTCGCAGATCGGGGGGAAAGACAGTCGCAGATCGGGGGGATCGGGGGGGGGGGGAAAGACAGTCGCAGATCGGGGGGGAGGGGGGGGGGAGGGGGGAGGGGGGAAAGACAGTCGCAGATCGGGGGGAGGGGGGAAAGACAGTCGCAGATCGGGGGGAGGGGGGAAAGACAGTCGCAGATCGGGGGGGGAGGGGGGGGGGATCGGGGGGGGGGGGAAAGACAGTCGCAGATCGGGGGGAGGGGGGACAGTCGCAGATCGGGGGGGAAAGGGCAGATCGGGGGGGGGGGGAAAGACAGTCGCAGATCGGGGGGAGGGGGGAAAGACAGTCGCAGATCGGGGGGGGGGGGGAAAGACAGTCGCAGATCGGGGGAGGGGGGGGAGATCGGGGGGGAGGGGAAAGACAGTCGCAGATCGGGGGGAGGGGGGAAAGACAGTCGCAGATCGGGGGGAGGGGGGGGGGATCGGGGGGGGGGAAAGACAGTCGCAGATCGGGGGGAGGGGGGAAAGACAGTCGCAGATCGGGGGAGGGGGGGACAGTCGGAGGGGGGAAAGACAGTCGCAGATCGGGGGGAGGGGGGAAAGACAGTCGCAGATCGGGGGGGGGGGGGGGGGAAAGACAGTCGCAGATCGTCGGGGGGGGGGGAAAGACAGTCGCAGATCGGTGGGGGGGGAAAGACAGTCGCAGATCGGGGGAGGGGGGAAAGACAGTCGCAGAAAGACAGTCGCAGATCGGGGGGGGGGGAAAGACAGTCGCAGATCAGTCGCAGATCGGGGGGGGGGGGGGAAAGACAGTCGCAGATCGGGGGGGGGGGAAAGACAGTCGCAGATCGGGGGGGGGGGAAGACAGTCGCAGCAGATCGCAGATCGGGGGGGGGAAGGAAGACAGTCGCAGATCGGTGGGGGGGGGGGGAAGACAGTCGCAGATCGGGTGGGGGGGGGAAGACAGTCGCAGATCGGTGGGGGGGGGGGTCGCAGATCGGTGGGGGGGGGAAGACAGTCGCAGCAGACATCGGATGGTGGGGGGGGGGGAACAGTCGCAGATCGGCTGCAGACATTTGCAAAACAAGAAATGGCTCAGCAGATAATCAGACATGACCTGTGAATGGTTGGTGTACGCTGACATGACCTGTGAATGGTTGGTGTACGCCGACATGACCTGTGAATGGTTGGTGTATGCCGACATGACCTGTGAATGGTTGGTGTACGCCGACATGACCTGTGAATGGTTGGTGTACGCCGACATGACCTGTGACTGGTTGGTGTACGCCGACATGACCTGTGAATGGTTGGTGTACGCCGACATGACCTGTGAATGGTTGGTGTACGCCGACATGACCCGACATGACCTGTGAATGGTTGGTGTACGCCGACATGACCTGTGAATGGTTGGTGTACGCCGACATGACCTGTGAATGGTTGGTGTACGCCGACATGACCTGTGAATGGTTGGTGTACGCCGACATGACCTGTGAATGGTTGGTGTACGCCGACATGACCTGTGAATGGTTGGTGTACGCCGACATGACCTGTGAATGGTTGGTGTACGCCGACATGACCTGTGAATGGTTGGTGTACGCCGACATGACCTGTGAATGGTTGGTGTACGCCGACATGACCTGTGAATGGTTGGTGTACGCCGACATGACCTGTGAATGGTTGTGTACGTGACGCCGATGGTTGGTGTATGACCTGTGAATGGTTGGTGTACGCCGACATGACCTGTGAATGGTTGGTGTACGCCGACATGACCTGTGAATGGTTGGTGTACGCCGACATGACCTGTGAATGGTTGGTGTACGCCGACATGACCTGTGAATGGTTGGTGTACGCCGACATGACCTGTGAATGGTTGGTGTACGCCGACATGACCTGTGAATGGTTGGTGTACGCCGACATGACCTGTGAATGGTTGGTGTACGCCGACATGACCTGTGAATGGTTGGTGTACGCCGACATGACCTGTGAATGGTTGGTGTACGCCGACATGACCTGTGAATGGTTGGTGTACGCCGACATGACCTGTGAATGGTTGGTGTACGCTGACATGCTGTGAGCTCTGGAGTGCAAATGCATTCTAAAGCATCCCTCAGTAAATGCAGGGAGCCCAGCATCATCTCAGGATGGCCTGGTGAAGGATTGGATGATCAGCACATCTGTCTGTGTATGTCTGCTCACTCCTGCAGTCACATGACCCGGTGTACGATGTGTACTGATCTATAGGACTGTCATCACATACAATACACCTCATCACCCCCGCCTCACTGCCCCAGTACCTTCTTTTCCCCTTCTGGATCCCCCAGCCTCCCGGTAATTCCTCCCGTTCTCCGGTGACCTCATAGGGGAAATCTCGGGCCGGGTCCCGGGACCAGAACCACATCTTCACAACGGGGTAGACACGTCACCGTGACGTGGACCGGGCGAAGGCGTGTCTACCGAGACACGTCACAGACTGATCACGTGGCGCCGACTGACCGCATCATCATGTAAACCTCTTTTTTTTCAACGATCTTTATTGACATGCTATAAGGTAACATTGACTATAAAATGAGTAGTTAAAAAGATCAGGACGTGAACAAAATCCTGTACCTCCAACCACACTGATATCAGTTTTAAAAATAAAAAAGTGTTCCATTAAAGTATATCTACATCCGTTTTTGGAGTGTGGAAGAGTTGAAAGAGAATTCCACTTTTTGCAAAAAATAATAAATGCATCTCTATTGCGAGAAGGTGCATTTATTCTGATTTTGCTTTTGAACCTGCAAAGTATTGCAGCCGGCATCAGTGGACTGTGGAATGCTGTGGCTCCTGCAGACTATTCCTCCAGCTCAGGGCTGTACAGAGGTATGGACCTTCAACTGTGGAGATGGAATGTTAAACTAGAACTACAGGCAAAACGTCTTTCCATTTTTGGATTTTGGATAGAGTTATGCAGGCCATAGACAGGGAGAAAAACGGCCGATTTTTCTTTTAAAAAATGAAAAATCGGTCGTTCAAGCGGCCGACATTACCATCAATGGTAAAAAAAATCGGCCGATTTTCATCCCGTCTACAGCCGGCAAAAAGTGTCCCTGCAGAGAGCTCCGCTATTTCTTTGACAGTTCTTTGACAGTTCCTTGACATTTACAGCGGTTGCAACAATGTATCTATTTCTTTCCATTTAGGATACAGATGTTTTTTATTCGGAAACAAATAGATACAATGTTGCAACCGCTGTAAATGTCAAGGAACTGTCAAAGAACTGTCAAAGAAATAGCGGAGCTCTCTGCAGGGACACTTTTTGCTGGACTGGAATTCCTCTTCTTTTTCATCCTACTTCTTCTTCTTTTTCTTCTCCTTCTTCTTCATCATCCTCTTCTTCTTCTTCTTCTTCTTCATCCTCTTCTTCTTCTTCTTCATCATCCTCTTCTTCTTTTTCTTCATCATCCTCTTCTTCATCATCCTCTTCTTCTTCTTCATCCTCTTCTTCTTCTTCTTCTTCATCATCATCTCTTCTTCTTCTTCTTCATCCTCTTCATCATCCTCTTCTCATCTTCTTCTTCATCATCCTCTTCTTCTTCTTCATCATCCTCTTCTTCTTCTTCTTCATCATCCTCTTCTTCTTCATCTTCTTCTTCTTCTTCTTCTTCTCCTTCTTCTTCTTCATCATCCTCTTCTTCTTCTTCATCATCCTCTTCTTCTTCATCATCCTCTTCTTCTTCTTCTTCATCATCCTCTTCTTCTTCATCATCCTCTTCTTCTTCTTCTTCATCATCCTCTTCTTCTTCATCTTCTTCTTCATCATCTCTTCTTCTTCATCGTCTCTCTTCTTCTTCATCATCCTCTTCTTCTTCTTCTTCATCATCCTCTTCTTCTTCATCCTCTCATCTTCTTCATCCTCTTCTTCCTCTTCATCATCCTCTTCTTCTTCTTCTTCTTCTTCTTCATCATCCTCTTCTTCTTCTTTCATCCTCTTCTTCTTCTTCATCCTCTCTTCTTCTTTCATCATCCTCTTCTTCTTCTTCATCATCCTCTTCTTCTTCATCATCTCCTCTTCTTTCATCATCCTCCTCTTCTTCTTCATCATCCTCCTCTTCTTCTTCACCATCCTCCTCTTCTTCTTCATCATCTTCTTCTTCTTCATCATCCTCCTTCTTCTTCTTCTTCATCATCCTCTTCTTCATCATCATCATCATCTTCATCATCATCATCATCATCCTCTTCTTCATCATCTTCTTCTTCATCAGCATCATCCTCTTCTTCATCATCTTCTTCAGCATCATCCTCTTCTTCTTCTTCTTCTTCTTCTTCTTCATCATCATCCTCATCTTCTTCTTCTCATCATCCTCATCTTCTTCATCATCATCCTCATCTTCTTCATCATCATCATCCTCATCTTCTTCTTCATCATCCTCATCTTCTTCTTCATCAGCATCCTCATCTTCTTCTTCATCATCATCCTCTTCTTCTTCTTCATCACCATCCTCTTTTTCTTCATCATCATCCTCTTCTTCATCATCATCCTCTTCTTCTTCTTCATCATCATCCTCATCTTCTTCTTCATCATCATCCTCTTTTTTTTTTCCTCTTGCAGGTCACTGCTCATGCGCAGATTTTTTATCGGTAAAAAAATCGGCCGATTTGCCCATCATTGCCGCAAAAATCGGCCGATCGGCAAAAGCGGCCGATTTTTTTTTCCAACTTTACTGATAAAAAAAATCTGCCAAAATACCTAAAAACGGCCGAACAAATAGCCCACTTACGATCCGAAAATCGGCCGATTTTATTTTCGGCCGAAAAATCGGCCGATTTTCGACCCATCTATGGCCTGCATAAGGGAGGGTTATAACCCACGTTGGATTGTTCTTCGCCATCTGTGTCCCATTGGGGAGATTTCCCTTCACTTCCTGTCCTATAGCCAAACAGGAAGTGAGAGGAAATCTCTGCAAATTAAAGGAATTCCTTGGGGACCCCCAGGTCACCAGAACTAGTGTCCCCATTGGAAGATTTCCTCACTATTATTGTTCTGGGGACAACTCAAAATGTGGGGTTTTCTTTTACTTTCAATGATAATGGTAAACAGGACAAACAGAGAGGGTGAGTCTCCCTAATGGGGGCACAGACAGCAATAGAACCTAACAGGGGGTCTAATCCATCTCCTCTATAGACAACTAAAAAAAAAAAGGGGTTGCCTTTAGTTATACTTTAATGGACTATGAGTGTGGAGACATCACAGCACTTGGCCTACAACATAGCTCCCAACTGCCCCTGATTTCGAGGGACTGTCCCTGATTTCAAGGGACTGTCCCTGGTTTTGAGGGACTGTCCCTGATTTCAAGAGACTGTCCCTGATTTTGAACTAAGTCCCTCTTTCCTCCTCATTTGTCCCTCATTTTGGTTTGATCTATGTAGTTATATATAAACTGCACTTTTTACCTTTCAAAAAGTGTTTCCCAGTGCTAAACCTTTCATCCATCTTCTAAATTGTAGCATTTGTACATTTCAAAAGCCAGTATAAAGGAATAGTAGTGGTAAAGAAAGTGTGGGTTTAACTAATCGTTTTTTTGTTTAATTCTCCTTTAAAGGGGTGTGGCAGGGGGTGTGTCCTATGCCTACATGATTTTTCTAATAGGTGTCCCTTGTTCCCATCTCAAAAAGTTGGGAGGTATGCTACAGTCCTGTACAGCTCTGGCAGCAGATGGGACCTTATTAGTTTTTCTGTATTAGCACTTAAACCCCCCCCAGCCAAAAAAATCAGAGCCCCCTCCCCACATATACACACACATTCAAACATAAACACATACATCAGGGGTGCCTATGTATAAAAACAATGATTGTGTTAAACATGTTACATATTGCCGCACATGCCACAGTGGGAGCAGTAATTCGAGGCCCATTATTCATAGTTAACTGGAAACAAATGACCCGTAGGGGCTTTAAAAGTGTTACCTGTATAGGATTTAGGGTACCAAATAGACATGTGCAGAACAAAATAATTCGTTTTGTTTCATTTCATTACTTAAAGCATTTTGTTTTGTTAATTTCATTTAATTTGTTTTTTGGAATTCGTTTCGTTTTCGAATTTGATTTTATCCAAATTCAATTCAACCAAATTTTGAAAATTTGATTGGCATTTGAATTAGAATTGTTATTTGAATTCTAATTTATTTGATTCAAATTTCGGAAGACAGTAAAATTTCTTCTATTTTATTCTATTCTATTTTATAGGTTTTTTTTTCTATTCTATTCTCTTATTTTCTATTCTTTTCTAGTCTGTTCTTTTCTATTCTATTCTAATCTATTTGAAATTCAAATTTATTCTATTCGAAATTCAAATTTTGGAAGATGGTTATATTCTATTTTATTCTATTCTATTCCATTCTCTTCTATTGTTTTTTTCTCTATTCTATTCTTTTCTTTTTTATTCTAATTTTTTTTTCTATTTGAATTTCAGAAGACGGTTATATTCTTACTATATTATTATATTGTTTGTCCTATTCCATTTTATTCTTTTCTATTCTATTCTATTTTATTCTATTCTCATTCAAATGTACTCAAATTTTGGAAGACAGCTGTATTCTTTCTATTTTATTCTATTCTATTTTATTGTTTTTTTATATTCTATTCTCTTATTTTTCTATTCTTTTCTATTCTGTTCTTTTCTATTTAATTCTAATTTATTTGAAATTTGAATTCATTCTATTCGAAATACAAATTTTGGAAGATGGTTATATTCTATTTTATTGTATTCTATTCTATTGAATTCTATTCTATAGTTTTTTTTCTATTCTATTATTTTCTTTTCTATTCTAATTTTTTCTATTTGAAATTCGAATTTCGGAATACAGTTATATTCTTACTATATTATTATATTGTTTGTTCTATTCTGTTTTATTCTTTTCTATTCTATTTTAATCTATTCTATTCTAATTCAAATGTATTAAAATTTTGGAAGACAGCTGTATTCGTTCTATTTTATTCTATTCTACTCTAATTTGAATTTATTCTATTTGAAATTCAATTTTCGGAAGACAGTTGTATTCTTTCTATTCTATTCTATTTTTTATTCTATTCTATTATTTTCTATTCTTTTATTTTCTATTCTTTTCTATTCTATTCTTTTATTTTCTATTCTATTCTTTTATTTTCTATTCTATTCCTTATTTTGGATTCATTACTATTGTAAGTCACAAATTTGGATAAATCTGAATTTCCAAAGAACAAAAAATTCATCTCAATTTTGATTCGGAACAAAACGAACTGCGCGTGTATAATACTGAAGTATGTTGCCATTTGACAGACTCATGCAAATTCACTTTAGTGTATGTTTTACTGAAATTTTGTGCCTGATTGGGCTAATATTGTGTGACATAAAAATTGGAACTACCTCTATTTTATTCA